ATGGTTCTAAAACATGGGTCAAGTTGGGCGGGTTGAGTTATGACCCATTGTTTAGCCCATCTTAACCCAAATATACTTTGGGCTGGGTTGGGCAATGACCCATTTATTGACCTAACCCATTTTGACCCGCCCAAATTCAGCCCAACCCGCCCATTTGCCACCCCTACCCCCACACCATGCAAAGCAAAGCTTGGTATTTAAGTGGAGAAGGGTAGAGGGACGGACCCATTGTCCACCGAGTTTCGAAGGCTGCAATTGGTCCAAAGGATCGGTCTCAGACGGATTTCTCTGTCATAAAAAATAATAATAATAATAATGTATCATACAACATAAAATCACATAAAGGCCGTAGGCATCAACAAACCTCATATAGTTCCGATGAGGGATGTTAATTCATATATACCCAAAAAGAATGATTCTGACCCACTAGCTACCGACAATAAGCTTCTAACTTGCCAAAAGATGTATTTGGGAAACTGCTAGGCTATGCAAAAGAATTAACACTCTAAAAGAAGCCACCACTGGATATGTGTGGGGCTTACCAGCAGAATTGTAGAAGAGGAGGGATGTCAGCAGCTAGGTCCCCGTCGGCGTCTGTATCTGCAAACATGAAGTAGGGAGTGAGTATAAACATACTCAAGTCTCATAGATGACCTCTAAATGTTGGGACAAGTTTTGGTGAAATCATGTTATGCAGTTATAAGTTGAAGACGTAAGAGCTCATCCTCTTCATTCAAAATGTTTATATCTTTACACCTGTCCAATGTGGGATGATATACAATACTCCACATGCTCCAATTTATGTGACATAGTTCGAATTGGTGGGGAAGTCAAAGAAAGAAAGGAACACTTTTGAAACCCATGCCATAACATTTGTGTTGCTATAAAACTTTTGAAACTGGTGTCGTAAAACATACCATAACATGTGTGTGGCTATAATACCTTCTCATTAAAGGTAATATGGGAAGTGTAGTTAATTGTTTCCAAATATAGAAACGTGAGTTTAAAGTTAATTATTCTCAAATATAAAAATGTGTCATTCTTTTTGTAACAGATTAATAAGAAAACAGTGTTACATAAATTGGAATGTAAGGAGTATAAACTACCTGTCTAACATCTGACACTCCATTTAAAGCCGGTTCATACATATCGTATATACTAAGCTTGTTACATATAATTAACTCGTGGACCTGGGAAAGACTTGGTAAATATGTATGCAATGCAGTAATAAAGTGACACTAAATCTCTACGTGTTTGGACATCTCATGAAATACTGGATTTGAAGCAGTGTTATCAAAGACGAAAAGTGCAAAAGAACTCTAAGGTGTGGGGCTTTAAGCGCAAAACGCCAATAAAGCATGGGCTTTATTAAGAAAGGCGTAAATAGAGAAAAACTACGAATATGTATGTGTAGTCCAAGACTAATATCTATAAGCATGAATACCAAATATATGGAGAAAGGAATTGAAGAAAATTTATGATAAAGTGAAGTATATCAATTGTTTAGTGTCGCCTCTTCAGGATTATGCTCGTTGGCAAGGAAACGTATGTCTTAGAGCCTTGATGAAAACAATGAAGCGCTCACTAAGCGAGGCGAAGCGCTTAACATGTTTTGAGTCTCGCTTCAGGGCTTAAGCGCGCATTTGATAACTGATTTGAAGCAATATGGAGCACAACTTGATTATCACAAACAAGTTCCATCTGATTGGTTTCTCCGAATCTCAGCTGTTATAGTTGGTGAGGGCTCAGGGCATTCACGTCCTGACGTTTGTAAGCTGCGCCCTGGATTTGCCCTTGGGCCTTGGCCACTTGCCCTGCCAGACAGGCCTCGCGCCTTAGTTGTGTGATGATCCCCTACTAAGCTCCCATGGCAGCAAACTTCCTTGGCCCAAACCCTAGTTCATGCCGCAGCTAGGCTAACGCATGACCTGGTTGACAGCTAGGCAACCTTGATGTGTTAGTCTCATGGTAGAGCCAAACTGAGCTGGACTATTTTCTTGAACTCTTCCACCAAAACTCTGCTTATTGCTGCTATGAGCTACTGCATGATTTGCTCGGCCGACCAGCTGAGCTTCACAGTTTATCACACAACAATAATAACAACATACCCAGTAGTATCCCACACTGTGGGGCCATAGTTTATCACACGATGGGGTGAAATGTGCTGCCCCTGCGTGCTGGAACTTCCTCTCCAAAATCATGCCCACACATTATCCACTCCATGGTGACTTCCTTTAGTCTCAAAGAGATGCGCACGTTCTACTGCGACCTACCTGTAGCCTATTTAACCTTTAAACTTCGAAATTCTTCGCCTTTCTCTATAATATCAATCACAACTCATCCAATTCATTTATACACCCAAGTCAACATCCACATCAATGTTTAAACATTGAATCAATTATCACCACATAATTTCACAAATTGGCACCTTTTAAAAAATATGAATTGAATTTAAAAAACTTAGAAATTTACAGGGCATTACAGACTAGTTACACAGATTGTTGTTGAACAATGTTGGAAATGTACACTGAATACCGGATGGATCCAGAAGTAACATTAATTTACAAGCCAAAGCAATAGTCTCTTGATTGTATGGTAACTTTTGTATCTGACCTCATTAGGTGATCAGGTCCTTAATTAAAGGAAAATTTCCAGGAGATTTAGCGTAGAAATGCACTGCTTGTGTCTAGGTAATTTCTAATCTTTGAAGTGCAAAAGAATCTTTGATTAACCATTTGAATTTGACTACTGATGTTGGTACTAGCTATAAACTGTTGGAAGTGGAACCATAGGCATACAAATGATTTTCTTCTCCTTTTCTCTATTTGTTAGTGTGTGTGGGTGTGGGGTGGGGTGGGGTGGGGGTCATCGGGTAGGGATGCAGGGCATTGATATGTGAAGTAGATGTGCCTATTATGTCTGCTTCTTTTGAAGCTTAGAAAGAAAATGCTGAAGCAACTGATATATTCCCACACAAATAACTATAAATGCATCGAAAGAATTATTTTGGGCCATTAAATGTTGGGCAGCAAATGGCAATGCTCAAACTCGGATGTTTTTCATGTCTGGAACTGCCTTAGTACTGTGATCTTAACAACTTGTGCTTTCAAAGCAACCTTTAACAGTGAATCTTGCTGAGCTACTTTTTGAGTTCATCCGAGATACTTCAAGCTTATTAGATTGATACTGATAAATTAAAAATATGTGCAGGTTACTCGTTCCCTTTTAGGCAACTCCCTTGATGTGGTTGCAGAGGTGCAAAAGGCAAAAATACAGTTTCATAACTTGGCTGATATTGCCTTCTCCACTCCAACTGGTATTGTTGTTCGATTCTTTCTTTCATTTCTCACCCCACCTGCTGAATTCCACTTGTGATATCTGTTTGCAGTTAAGCCCGTTACCATCAGGCACTTGTGGACAATTATTTTAGGGTCATTTATTGCTGTAATTTCAGTAATTTATTATTAAGGCGTGAGGTTGTTTTATTGCTCCTTCTGACCTATATTATCTGAAGTTATTTGACTAGGTAGAGAATACTAACATGCTTATGACTTTTGTTGGTTTTTGATGGTGTCAAAAGATTTTAAAATTGTTTCTGAAAAGTTAATTAGAGAGAAATTTGAATAGTCAAATTACTGCAAGATAGTTTGTATCATTAATGGAATGGTGTTGGGATTTTCCAAAATAAAGTCTCATGTAAAACAGAATCAGTTCTTATACAATATTTTAATATTCTTGGATTAGGGATATTAAGTTCTAATTTGTATGCATTCTTATTTTATTTGGTTGCACTGTTTCTTCTCTTGCAAGTTTGGTCACAAAAGGTATTATTGTGGGAAGACTCATTCTGTCTTCTATTTAATTTGAGTTGGATTTTAGATTAACATCTGCTTTGCTTTTTCCTCTGTGGAAATCTCCTTCCTTGCAAGGGGCTATTTTGCTTTTCACGCACCTTAAAAGTTTTCTTTCTCTTGTCTAGTAAGTCTCACATCAGGCTGTGCCTCCTGTTTGTTACGCATCCCTTTTGTATTTTAATTTGTGCTTTTCAGATGATTACTGTCATTTTTCATGTTCTCTAGTTGTTGAACTCCTCTTTCACACTCACATATCATATATTAGGTTATGGAAATGCTCTAAGAAATTGAAGATAAGTGACTGGTAGCAATTGTCTTTGCTGTCCCCTGGAGATGGACTGTTAATTCTTATCTTTGTCAGGATCGTTTTATTGTATAACTCTTTTGTGCTTTTATCATAACAAAGAGGGAATTATGGAGTAATACATATTTTAGGATGGATAGACAGGTAAATTCCATGCCTAGACACATGGGCACTCCATGCCTTTACTTTTACTGCAATTTATCAGAAATTAAAATGTTCAGCAGTAAACAGTCATTTTGTCCTTGTGGAGTAAGTTTTTAGTAGTAATTGTTATTGGCAGATTATTTGAAGTATTTTGCTGGTATAAGCGCGTCGCACCTTATAACTAACACTTGACTTCACATTCGCAGTTGAGGAACTTGAGTTGCAGCTTCATTTTGTGAATTTTAATACTGGCAAGAAGGTGAAATTGACACTAGATATGTCATGCTTGAATAGGTACATCCCTTTTTTCTCTACAGCTTCGTGTCTTTTGCTTTCACCTTTCTTACAACATGGTGTATGAATTAGTTCATCTTTGTCATGTTTCCTGCAGGATAAAATATCTATACTGTGCATTATAAGTGCCCCTTTAGTTCTCAAACCAGAAAGTAAAAATGAATCCAAAGTCGAAAATAATTTGATGAGCACAGTGATAAATCCTTTAAGCTGGTTTTGGACACCAACGTATCTGGTCTCAATTGTTCTTATCTGGTTTCTGTTTCCCAGTTGAAAAAGTAGAGTTGATGTATCATCTCAACATAAGAATGCTCCACTAGTTCCAGTTTTCTTGTCTTCTTAGAGAAAATCTTAAAAATATTAGCCTTGTTGCTCTCCTTAGTCTGGTGGTTTTTAAACTGCTAGCTTATTTCAGACGTAGTGAACCATATGGTTGGAGCCATCTAGTTATTATCAAGATTATATTAAAATGGTGCATTGGAGGCACAGGTTACGGTGCTCTAAGCAGAAATGCGCACATACAATTACGTCAAGAGAGGTGCACCAGTAACCGCATGTGGCAGCACAAACACATTGCTTTAGAACATATTTCTTTTCTTGTCATGTCCGAAATTTGATCTGAAGTTCTGAATATATATCGTTAATAACCTCAGAGCTACTTACTAGTAATTTAATCAGAACTGCATTCTCTGGTGGAAGTAATTTTCAATCATCATATGGTTGTGTTGATTGGTAGTGAATTCTGCTTTTCATCAATTTTTCATAAGATTATCAACTAACTTGTTGATATGTGGCAACATCTTCATTGTGTGTCACAAGTTACTGACTTTTTGAGGATTTCCTGACAGGGGGGTCTATCCTTCAGAAGTTGTTCCATCCCAGGTTGCAGCTCTAGCTCTTCGCGTGGAACATTCAGATGATGCACTACTTGGTGAAATTAGAGCTGCTGTCAAAAATCTTAGAGCTGGATACATGAGGATTATACGGTTATGTGATTGTATTTCACGAGTTGTTCAAGCCTCAGGTGGTTAACTTCAGCAGAAAAGAAAATTTGAACTTGGATGAATGGACTCTTGTTGGGATTGCCACTGCTTGGAGCACTTATGAACTTCCTCTTGCAGATGTTCTCCATTGTCACAGGTCTTCTGTGGCAACAATCGCATCATATGTTGAAGAATGATTGTGATATATGAGGTGAGATCATAGCTGAATGTATAACTTTTTCTCTTCGATCCAGAAGTATTGTCATTGGTTATTTTCCTAGGCCTTCTCTATTTTTCTAAACCGTCTTCTTAATTTCTTGTTTTACTTTTGGGCGATGTAGGGTTGGAGAGTTCTAAACTTTAGAACTATAATGATCAGCGTGAGCTCTTGTTTACTTTGATCGAATATTATAAGCTGTTAGATTAGCTGCATTTTGCTCATACATACGTATCCCTAATGAAATAGTGAAAACTCTGACGGGGAACTCTAGAGTTAGCCTACTTTAGCTGTATGGGTTTTCATACTCTTTCCGGCTATATCTGTTTTGCGCTCGCGTCTTGATACAACTGTATCTTGAATGTTTCGTAAATATTTCAAATGTAAATTTGGTTGAGGATGGTTAGGATTTTTTCTTCTGCGTACCAGTAGTATTATTGTTAGTCTTGTATTTTCTTATACTTAGGTTTCTACTACTACCAGTTGTTTCTTTCGCTACGGTTTCTTATCTTCTTATTGTTACTGCTTTTTTTTTTGGCCATCTTTACACGAGTCGAAGGTAGCCTCAGTACCTTTTTAAGATAGGGGTAAGGTTGTGTACATACTATCCTTCTCACACTCCACTTGTGGGATTATTCTGTGTTTTTTGTTGTTGATGGTTAGGATTAACTATTCATGATTGCATTTATTTATCACTGGTTCTAAACTCTACTAATTGTCCTTTTGCCCTTCGGATACCACCACCAAGTTGGTACTCTACATACGTTAAGCATTTAGATTTGGTGATGTGGGGAACCACGTACCATTTCTCAAGGAACTTCATCTATAGTTGATAAATGTGCTTCATTAGTTAGGCTTTATTATATGTATCCCATCTTTTGATATATTTATCATCGTTAGAATTGTTGGGATGGACTATGCTTTTCTGGGAATGGCAATGGGCGATTGCGGGACAGGTTTGGCTGAACCCCAAAACTTTCAATCCGCATAGCTTTTTTATAGGTTTCTAACCCGCCCCGCCCCGCCGGGCCAGCCATGTCCTGCCCTGCATCAAGTCTTTTTTTTTTCTTTTTTCTTTTTCCGCTTGTTCATTTTGTTATTTTTTTCTGTATTTCTTTGCCTATCAATTTTTTGCTTTGTTTCCTTCTGAACAACGTGTGTCTAACAAAAAAGAATTTGTTAATTAGTATTGAAAATCATTCTCCTATAAAAATATTCAAATCATTATGCCATATTTAATTTTTTCAGTCAATATGTGATTGTGAACCATAATACTCGAAAATACCACCAGAACACATTTTATAATGCTCCATTTATATATACCATACATATGTTAATTACTTTTGTACTTAATCGAACATTAAAAATTCAAACTAAATGTAATGTTGTAGTGTATATACCTTAGAAACTACTCTTTTTATTCTATTTTATGTGATCTAGTTGTATTTGGAGAATCAAAGAAATTTTTTTTATCACAAATTTTTCAAATACTTATCAAATATTTTAAATTGTTAACTATTGTAACTTTGTTGTATTTGTATTTTTTATATATATGTAATAATTTTTAAATTTTTTAAAGGTTTTATATTTGCGTTCATACTGAAAATTGGGTAATTTGACCACCGTACTCCAATTCTAGTCGTATAAAGTGAAATGAACAGAGTACTTTTTAACTTCCGAGATGTCTACTTTTGGATTCACATTGGACATTTTTATGGTTGCTTAAATAAATAAAGAATTTAGTTTGAAAATTCAGAAATGGTAATAGTCTAGTAGTCTTCATGGAGTAACAATCAGAAATTACTCTGTTTCATCTATTTGCAGTCGTCGAATCAAATTATTCAAATATATTATAGCAAACTTGTTATTTTCCATCATTGTAGCCTCTAACATGTTTTCCTTTGGTTTTAGCAATTAGGTAGCAGGCCCTTATAAAAATTAATTGTAAATAGAAAGAATAGATCATGCAACTTCAGTTTCGTGTACCAGGAGAAATAGTTTCCACCCGCAACCGCTAGAATTTGAAATTTTTTCATTTCAACCCGCCCCCCACCCGTTCCGTGCCGCATAAGCCTGAA